AGCAGGAGTGAAGGCTCCAGCACCGCTCCCTTCGCTGAGCCACTGCTGCAACAGCTGGTAGATGCAGAGTCTGGAGCAGAACAAACGTGGAAACCCCAGTGGTTCTCCGTACCGGAAAAGCACAGCACTAAAAACATCAACTAGAAAAATAAGTACCTATATATGACCCCCCAGCCTCTCACAGATGGGGGCAGAAAGCAAATATGAAAGAATGTACCTGCAGAAGTGACACTGCCGGGGGGAGGAGAGGACGACCACTCACTTGCCACGGCCCAAGTGATGGTTGGCCCAAGTGATGGTTGGCTTTCACCTGCTCCTACCACACCTCCTCGCACGCCGCCTTCTCAAGGTGAGCATGCACAGGATGCTCAACAAAGATGATCTTATTTTTCCTACATAATGTCCCCCCTTTTTCATGTCACACGATTCCTGTGGCAGCTTTCACTGCTCGGGGTCTGCAAGGGTCCCAGCTCTCTCGGTTAAGTGGCTGGCACCGATTCACACCTGCCAGCATACTACTCACCTTCTTGAAAAGAAAACTTGGGTGCTCAGGAAAAAAAACAGAAATCAGTACCGGGAACTAAGTTTTAGTAGTGTCAACACTGTAAAAAGAAAACAAACCGCACAGAGTAACACTGAAAGCTTAGCAGCATTGCTGGTACTTGGGACATAACCACCCTGCACCGAAGTTCACCAATTCCCTTACACTACCCAATGACAAACGATACGGAGAATGGAAAGCCCTTCCTTCTCTCAGCTTCTCCTGCCACCTCAGGAGATAGCTGGGGAAAAGAGCACGCCTCGCACAGCTCTAATGCACTAAAATAACTCACAATTGGTGCTTGAGTTCACCACGAAGCACTGAGCCGTCTGGTTCCCTTGAAGGCAGGCTGGTTTTCTCTCCATCTCTATTGGAAAGTGAAGCTGAACTTAACCCTCTGGAGGAAATGATGAAGAACCTTTTCTCACAGCTCTCTTGCTATAATAAAATTTCTACGTTGGAACTAAATTTTCCTCCTCTTTTGGGGTTATCTGGGAAACCATGAATAAAATAACAGAGCTAAGCATGAAAGAACAGAGCTAAGCAGGCAACTACATCCTCGGAAGCTATACAGCTTTGAGAATCAGAAAAGCCCCGAACGAAAGCAGGACAGCTATATGCTATCAATTACAAACAGCCAAGATACATCCAGCAGGCAGCAGGGGCACACAACCTGCAAGTACACCACGGTGTGCAATCCCGGCAAGCGATATCGGCGTGTAGGTGCTGACCGGCATCGTCTTTGCGCAAGCATCCCAAATCCAGGTACAGAGAGGAGTCGGATGATGTGAAGGTTGGTGTTCCTGGTGACACCCGTAACTAAAACCTTCATCTGAACAGCTCTGCAGCTGGGTCAAAGCTCCCACCACCCTGTCCTCACCTGTGGCTTCACACATCTTGCTCAAAGCTAAAGGACCAAGATCCTAGTCACTCCCATTCTTTCAGAAAACAAAAGGGGCATTACATTAAGACTCTACTTTTTTTTTCTTTTTAAAATCCCTGAGATTTATAATTGCCAATAAAAGGTTCGCGTAGTTGCAAAATACAAGAGGAAAAATATTGAAGATGCCTTATCGAACTAACTGCGGTGCAAGAAAATGCATCGGCAAGCCTTCTCTCAGGAGGGAATTGTGTTCATTGCAAACACAGGCAGCTTTTTCCTAAGATCTTTGGAAAACCTAGAGAATTTAGTTGGATTTATTCCTGTATTAAGCAATTCTAACACATTTAGAGAGAATGCTTGTGATTGAGGCATGAAACACAAAACAGAGGCAGACCTGGTTATATGTAAATAGCTGAATCCTGATTCTTTTTTTAAAACATCAAAGAAATTAACAGCCTTTCTCTAAATCTTTATCTACATACTTGTCCCTGACTATCACCTGTAAGAGAGTTTGCAGATAGAATTCTGTCTTTTTTCTGGTTTTCTTTTTCAAGTTACATAATGTAGTTAGTTGTTGGAAGGAAATCAGACAAACCGCCTAAAAACATACTTAAAGGTACCAGCTTTGGACACAAGTGAAGACCTCCTCCAAGTGCCTATTTAGAAATGTCACATTACACATCCACACCACCCTCTCCACAGGTATGAATAAAGTCACACAAAGAGCCAGAACGCACATTCAACAGAAGGAAAAAAAAAAAACCAAAAATGTATAGCACTTATAAACAAAACAAGAGCAAACGGCTGTACATTCCTGTAGGTCCAAACTAATACTTTGTTCTAAATGTGCTTTGATTTTCTGTGCCACTGGCAAAGGCGACAGTTTTCTCATGGAACAACAGCAATACCACAACATAAAAGCAAATGCTGTGAAGAATAATCATACCATGGTAAAAACTAAACTAGAACGGGTGACGAAAGGAGGTTTTACCTCCTCGTGTTCTAACGTACATTGGCAGGAATTCCCTTGAAGTTTTAGTTATCAGAATTTTGAGTGTACTCAAACAAAAATGTTTGAGTAAAGAATGAAGGCCTTTTAACAATATATCAAGACCACATTTATGAAAACTGATATGAATAATATTGAGCATAAAGTTATGCTTGTAACTGTAAGGTGCTTGTTTTGGAGGCATTGATTGTACCAGCACTGCGGCTGAAAACTGGGCAACAGAGAACCCCAAATCAAAGGGCTGCAGGAGATGATGCTTTCCATCACGAGGTTTCGGTCAGGTGTTATGTATTTCACATCCTTGCTTTTACAAAAGCAAAATACTCTAAAAAATGTTATTATGAGCTGAAGCTCAGAATTTCACCCCCCCAATCCATCAGGTTGGCAGACAGGGAGGACGTTTTGCAACTTTTACTGTTTTACCTCAATAAAAGTTGCTAAATTAGATGTGATCAGTTGAGTAACTGTCTTTTCAATTATGCTTTCAAAATTACAGACCAAGTCTCATGTTAAAATCACCTGATTAAAACAATTTATAAAAGCAGTGAAGCTCTGTTGTCTACAGTATTCACTCCTCCTAACATCTCAATTTCTCAGAAAGATTACAGTATTTTTCTGAATACAGCTCATATTTTAAAGAAAAAGTTAAAACTATCACCAGGTTTACCACCACCTGTCTTCCACAGATAAAGGACACTTTTATGAATTAATTTGTAAGCATTTTTATGCAGAGTGATTATAAAGAAGGGGAGACAAAATGCAACGGGGATTAAGTGCTTTTACAGTCTATGCATTTATCTCCAAACTGCTGCAAAGCAGAAGGGCACTTCTGTGTTGCTGGACTGCTGAAGGCACGCTGAAGTCAGAAAATACAATGATTGTCTTCACGCGAAGTTTTGGCAATTGCTATTTTCATTTGATTGTGTACGCGTTCCCTCTTCTAAACTACCACACAGGTTATTTATTCTTCAAAGTATACCACAGACACGTTGCATAGGTTGATACTTTAAAACTTTCCTTCATAGCTGATTTGAAGATTGTCCATTTTTTTTGCTTGTAGAAACAAAAACAAAACCCAAAATGAGGCCACTCAGTGCAGGAAAACAGCTGATTTACTGGATGTGGCTGTTTGTTAACAAGCATGTGCAAAAGTGACTGTTGCATTCGGGTGTTGGAGGAACAGCATATTATATAAACATATCTGTAAGAGTCTGATAGTCAAAGAAACCCTTCAACATACTGTAATTTGTGATGTCTGTATGAGCCAGCTGATGATACTTAACTTCTCTGAAATCAGTAGTTTTTCCTAAATGTCATATTTTGCAAACATCGTAGCCTATTATAACATGTTCTGGATGCAGTGTGATGCATATAGCGCAGTACCAAAGCAAGGATGCTTTGAGGGAAACTGAAGAGGTACATGGAAAAAAAAATTAAAAAAAAAAATCAACTACGTTACGTGATTTAAAATCCAGCCACTGGATTAGAGTTTTCTTGCTTAAAGTGACTGACATCATACCCTTTTGACTTCTCAGCCTGAACAGCATGGAAGGATCCATCACAAAAAAATCAAGAATCGATCAATTGACATGTGCCTTCTCTGTCCAGTCTTCTTGTGTGAGATTTTTTAAATTATTCTGAAAGTCAAAAGCAAAGTTATCACCGGTGGCTTGAGCAAAAGGGTTACTGAAGAAAAGGTTTACATCCAGAGGTGCAGCAGTTTCGGAGTCCCAGGAGTCTGTGTCTGTGCTGCTGGAGTCTTCTGTGGTAGTAGGTGGATAGCTCAGCTGTTCCAGCTGGTCAATAACGTCCGTGAACTGAAAGGCTGAGCTGGACTCGGAGCGGACCGAGTAGGCGGGGAAGTTCACCATAGAACTGGCCTCTGAATGGTTCGCGGAGCTGTACACGTGCAGGGAGGACGTACCGTTCAGCGGCAAATTATTGAGGGAGCTGCTCTCGGAGCGGTTGTTGATGAGCGAACTCGTTTCGGACGGGCTCAGGAGGCTTTGCATTCTGCTCGCTTGGGCCTTCACCTCAAACAGCTCTGAGGTATCTGAGGGTCTCTCATTGCCGTTGAAATCGCTCCCTTCTTCAAATTCAAACTCATCTTCCATATTCATGTCTACCGCTTCGGTTGAGTATCTGTCAGGGCTTGACTGAGAAGAGACTGTATTTTGCTGAAGGGCATCTGTAGTTAAGCCAGGCGACTCTGACACACGCTTAGAAAAATCAGAACCCTTTAATTCTAAACCACTGTAAACGTATGAAAACGCCTCAGAGCCCCCAGCAAAAAAGGAAATTTCTGCTGGGTCATCATCAATAAATTCCTCCGATACCTGTAACTGGGAATTTGTCAATGTGAAAAGAGGGGCACCCCGACTGCCGTGCCGATGCTCTTGTTCAGCAACAAACACACCCGTGGTAAAGTCATCCTCATCATTGTCATTTTTACAAACAGCAACCCTGCTCTCCTTACTACTCTTCTCTACGTCTAGATCTAAACCGCAAGCACTCTCAACAACAGGACAAGCAGGGCTACAGTTCCCTGCAACACTACCAAACCCAACACCTTGGAGCATGGGAGATCCAGGCTGCTGCATCAGTTTCCTCCCCGCTTCTGCTGGCGTTGCAGTGTTTTTTTCTGGAATCCTCATGTATGGCGCTCGGGGGTCCAAAGAGGAAGGGCTGATTTCTGCAAAGATGGGCAGGACAGGAGTAGGAGTGGCCGATGAGTGAACTGAGTGGAAGGGGGCAGCTGCCGAGGCAGGAGACCCTGGGGTTCTCAAGCCCTCAGTGAATGGGACACTCTAAGAGGGAAACAAAAAAGTAGAAACACAACAGAGAAAAAGATTTTTATAATACATAAAAACAAATGCAACATCCAGTTCCTGATGCAGAAGGAATACATGCTTCAAAAGAGCTCACTTTACAGCAAACAAAACATTGCATACAGAAACAGTATCCCCAGTAAGAGGAAAGTTCGTTTTTCCTGAATTCTGGTAACTGGATGGAAAGTTAAATCCATTACTTTATAGCCTCTGCTGAAAAAGTATTCACAAGGGAAAGTAAACCAAAACGATGACAGCAAAATCCTGCGATGCTTCCTTAACCTCTCACATGCAAAGCAAGTGGATTCAGTCAAACACTTGTTTCTTGCCACTGATTGTAAAGGCGCCTATAAATGAATTCAAGACTTCCAGAGAAAGCAGTTGGATAGTACCTGAAAACAAACTAATCCTCTGAAGTAACATACTAGAGAGTATGACATTTTCTCTTCAGTTAAGCTGAACTCTGAAAAGGAAAATACTACTCAGTCTACACTCCATTGGCTATAACTATCAAAACTGCTACCACTCACAAAAAGAAGATGACATCAGGAACAAAGATCAAACAGTGAAAGCGATTCCAGACAAACTGTTCACTCGGATCACCTTTCCTCCAACCATCACCTTGGAAAGCTGGTTGTCAGCTTCCCAGACTGCAGCATTGAGAGTGCTGCAGTACTGACCTGTTTTGGCATGTCGGTGTTCAAAGCGCGAGTGGACGCTCTGGCTTTGCTGTGCCTCCTGCAGAACAGAGAGCATCCTGTGAGTTTCCAAGACACGAACCAGCCTTCTCCCTGCCCCCTTCAGCTACTTCCATTCTAGTAGCCAACAGAAACGTCTCAAGCTGTATTTTATCATGTTTCATTAATAACCAGTTCAAGATTTATACAGTCACAAGTAAATTAAACAACATGGGAGTAAGAAACCTACAGTAAATGGGAAAAAGCAAGCTCTATATCATTCATACCACTAAAGGAGAACTCAAGAGTAACTTGGAGCAGAAGACTAAATAGCACACTTAGTTTAACTTCTTTGTCATCAGTATAAACATCTACAAATGAATGGCTTCAAAACCAGAATGAGGTAATCTGTAACAATATTACAAACAACTTACAATTCAGTCAACCAAGTCATTTATGGCATATACAATTCTATGTGTTACATCCCAAAACGTGGTACCCTGCATCACACTTGTGGTTAGATTCATTCTATGTCAGTAATTTACTAGGAAATTAATCTTTCATACAGAAAAGGAGCTCAACTGGAGTCTAAGACAGGAAAAATATTTTTTATTAGTAGATTAATGCAAACTTCCTAGAATTCCCATTAAGTCCCTATAATCTTTCAGATGAAAGACTACAAAGAGTTTCCCAGATGTAGACAGCATGGTTTCATAACCAAGTAAATGATAATTTTATAATGAAAATACACATTCTGAATTTATTTATTTATATGTTTAGAAATGAGTGAGTATTTAAGGTGACAGTTCCAGACTTGCAGATCCCAAGTTCAATTATGTGCTCTGCCACTGGGCACCTGCATAGCTACAGTGACATGCAGACAAGTCCTAAATTCAGTGAATCTTTGAAACAGACTGAACTTTAGATGGCTAAGTCACATGTTGTCTACAGACATTAAAATGCAATACTGAAACTTTCCTAAGCTTCTTTACATCACCACAAAATTATGGTTTGTTTTTTTTTAATTTAGTTGAACTACCTTAAATTTGAGGTAGACTTCATTAACTGAGAAGTCAGCAAACGACCATGCCTCCACGCATCATTTAGAAATGCTGCAATTTAGGAAATAATAGCACTGTGAACATCTCAACTACATCTCACCTTACAAAAGTATTTGTACTTACCTTTCATATGGGGTTTTCTTCATCCCACTGTCCTTAATATAATCCACCAGCTGCTTCTGTGTTCGTCCACTGTGAACCCACAAAAGCACAAACATTATAAAATGCAGTGGATGAGAATTATAGATGGAATGACTTTAGAATACTTTTTCCTTTTGATCTCACTTTCTAAGATATGAGGAATTCAGCTTTAATAAATCTGTTATGTTTCTCCCTACCTGTATCTGAACGATGACCCTCTGGTGAAGAACACTGCTTTAGCCTTTGGCTTTGGCTGATCAAAGAGTCTAAAGAACGTGTGATATTCAACACAGATTTTCCAGAAGTTTTTACACTCATCCCTACTTCCCAAAAGAAACTCCAAAGTATCCTGATACGGGCCCTGGGAACAAAACACAAAAGCTAAATAGCGCATAAAACGGCAACGGAGGAGAAAAGGAGTGCCAACAAAAAAAAGGAGTGCCAACAAAAAGGCTAAACTCCAGTGAGATGCAGTATTTTGCTAAGTCACTTCTCATCTGCAATGGAAGTGATTTTGAATGCAGTTTAATCATTTAATAGCTTTCAAAAAGTATTTGTTTACCTTGAAACTGTACAAAAGTTTAAAATGCACTTGACTTTAGAAACATGCTCAATATAATCCACTTTAAGAAATACGGATCATAAAAGTTAGAAATTTGAAAGAAATTAAAATATTGAAATGAAATAGTAGCGACTTTAAAATACTTTTTCCTTTGAGGTTCTGATGCTTGTCCTACTTCCTGAGATTTAGACGAGACTGACATACGGAGTATTTTCCAGAGTACAGTTATCACATGAAGTTTCTGAGGTCTCTTTGCGAGACACATTACTACACATGCAGACAGTGTGTCCTGCTTCAGGATTCCTTGATACCCAGAACTATCGCATGTCCAAACATTTTTTCCCCCCCCATTTTAATACAATCCTACATTGAACATAATCTAGTCACGCTGTGTGGAAGCAACAACTTTGATATCATCTGCAATCAAAAACATCTACTGTAAATCAGCCAAGCACGAAAACTATAGAGAAAAGATAAGGCTGTAACAAGAGTAATCACACAGTCCTTAAAATTAAACTCCAACAATATAATCTCAGCCAGCTACTCTCTCCTGAGGTGTATCAGATTATTCTCATTTGAATCAAGAGATTCTCTACCAGATTTTTCATTTGAGCAGCACATATTCAACAAGTTTCTGGAGGAAACAGAGAGAGCAATCACCATTTGTATCAGTAGTGTACTACAGTAATCTTTTAAGGAGCTCCAGCCAAAAGCACTCCCTAACGAGCTTCTACCTGACCAGAGATTTACTATTTCAGTGCTTAAGTTACCTTAGTTCATTTTGATGATAATGGATCAGAATTTGTTGAGTGTTAACCTCCATTTCTATTCAAGGGAAATAGTAAATGTAACTTTTTCAGAGTAAAACTACTGAGACAGGATGTACCAAATACTTCATTGTTTTTGTTTTTCTATCTTACATTTACACATGTGTATGCCTACATCAAGGATAAGCTGAGGCTGATACACAAAACCTAAAAACCCAAGACAACAGACACGGGGTGAGAAAGGAAAGATTTTTACTTGAATAACGAAGCCAAGCCTACCCCAGTGAAGCTGTTTTATAAAATTACAAACTCTAGAATTTTTCATAATAAAATTAAGTATACTTTTTTTTTCAACACTGACCAGCCTACTGTTACAGCAAAACTTACACAGACCTCTGGGTGGAGTTTAATAAGAAATCTTTTCCTCTTGAAGCTTAGTTTACGGACCTTCGACCAGTTGAAGGTATTGATTTTCGTGTTACCCTGAATTAAAATGATAACAGTTAAAAGTTGGCTAAAGTTTCAGAAGTAAGAGCAGAAAACAAAATTCTGTTGCGGGTAGACAGACACGTGCATGCGCGTACACACCATCTCCCAACCCATTCTGTTGGATTTTTATTTCTGGTATCAATATTCCCTTAAACATTTTTATCTTTCAGTACAGGGATAACTGTAAGTGTGTGACGTCTATCTCTGCACAGACACTAGAATACTGAAAGAAAACCTAGAAAACCAGAAGGGAAAGGAATGTTTCAACCCCATCAATATTCAGGATACTTTATCGTACAAGCAAGATGAAGGCTTCATTTTATTTAACATGCTTTCCTCTGCATAGAACTCTAGACACACTCCTCCAAGCTGATTTTTCTAATTCAGCTGTAGAACATACTGAGGCATACTTGCCACACATGCGAGGAATCCTGCCAAGCTCTCTCGCTCACAAAACCTGCTTATTCGGCTAAAACCAGGCTCTGCCTTCACCCTGCTGCCCTACATCAGCCCTCCCCTCCCCGTACCACTGACTCCCAAAGCTGCAGGGAAGTGATTCTCCTGTCGCCCTCTATAAGCAAATGGTACTTCAAGAGAAAGACCTAAATGAGCTGAAATGGTGAGGAGGACTGAGAGGAACTGCAGGACTGATGCATCTCTGAAGAGCAGCTGCCCCACAGTAACAAAAGAACGGGTAAGACACAAAATGAACGGAAAATGAGTGCCCAAAGGGAAATATTTCAGTAGGTCGGCTGCCTGTGTGTTTTGCGGGGAGGAGAATAATACGATCACATTCATATACAGAAGTCTGATCATCAAATGTCTTATTTAATACAACGAAAGTAGTAAATCAGATTGGTCCAATCACTTCAATCAAACAGCACTTCTATACACTAAGAGCAATGTTATCCCAGCACAAATATGCTATAACATTAAAGCAAGGGTAACGGAACCAAAATTCCAGGATTACAGACCTGTTGCAGGGCTGTACACCAAATGAATCAATGATTTTCGCTGAACATATACATAACTTTCAAACAGACAACAAAAACCCTTCTACTTCGGTGTCACTGTGGGTTTTGCTGCTCTTCTCTCCGCACCAAGGGCAAACTGCGCCAAACAATATTTGGGGGGCTTTAATGACACTCCCATGACCATAAAAATGTGTTAGTTTTAAAATCACCAGAGACACCTGAAGTTAAAATGACAGACTTACTCCCAAAACGTGCTAATGGACAGACACACGTACCCAGTTGGCTCTCCCCACCTTACCTGGAATACCAGCACACCCATGTGTGAGACAGCTAGATTAATTTTGGTGCCCTCACGGTCAGATGCAAGGTGAAATCTGATGCCATACATCTCCAGTTTCCGAGCAATTTCAAGCACTTGAAAGTCTGATTCAGCAGGCGTTTGA